AGAATCCACTGCACTGTTCTCCTACAGATGCACAAAGCAGAATCACACATTAAAAAGCACCCAATCAGAAGGGGCATTCCTTGACCAGCAATCAAATGTAGTGGCAGCATCCACTCCTGTGATGCCAAAGGGTACGTTTCACATCATTCATGTGCATAAATTGTGTAACTTTGAGCTCCAGATGCTGCATACAAATGATATTACTGGGTACATGAAGTCTCCTGTGCCAACAGGTTGAAAATATTGTCCATGATAAGTGTCTTCATCAATTATGCAGTTTTATCATGGTAAAATTGCATGTAAAATGATCTTCTCCTACTGCGCATTTTTATGCTGTAGCACATTTTCTATTCATTATGGAAGATATTTTCAGCCATTAATCCAATGTCTTGGAACCTTGCTGAATGCCAGTAGACTCACCAGCAAACTATCCTCTGGGCAAAAAACCACATTTCCTTTCCAGAAAGCAGCCTCCTAGAAGCTTGTTCCCATCTGTAAGAAAACCTTATGGAAGAAGAGGCAATTTTCAGGACCAGCTTCCAGACCACTCAGGAATTAACTTATTAGAAACCACAATGATGTTGCTGAGTAACTAAAGTTAGTCACTAAATATAACTAAGTGTAACTAAAGCAGTTATATTATTTCACCAAGAATAGATTAGGCAGTTTTCTTGTGTTTATTTCAGCCTTTCTGAGATTTTCTTTTTTCATTTATTTTTCCTTTGAAATCTCTGAAAAGGAGACATCTTTACATACAAGAAGGCAGCATAAGTATTTTTCGTTATGTCTTGTTTTCTGTTAACATCACACAGTTTATAATTAGAAGTGGGTATTTTTCCCTTATTTTCTTTTGTAACAGACACTGCTTATGGCTGTGCCAACAGATTAATGTGGGGACTACAGAATGAATATTATAAAAGTGTCATTTAGGTAAAGCCAAGAAGCAAAGCGGTGCAAGAAGTTGTGCAAACAGCCATTTTGACTACAGATTTATAGTCCATAGACAGCAGCTCCTACATTGCAGCCTTTCTATCTCTTAAACAGTGTGTAGGTTGCATCAGTAGTTTAAAGGAATTTTGCATATTGAGTGCAACAACAGATTGGTAACAGTTCTTATGACTGTGGCACCTACATAAAATTTAGATGTAAACTCAGAGAAGTGGAAAGGAGATCAAGAAAAATATTTGAAACTACATTAATGGCTTTTCTGTAGTGCTAGTACAGCAGAGTACGTGTCCCAAAAATATTGTATGTTCCACTTGAATATGAGGAAAAACTTCTTTACTCTGAGGGTGGTCGTGGACTCTCCCTCAATAGATATGCAAGAAGTATCCTGTGCAATATGCTCTAGGATGATCCTGCTTGCCCAGGGAAGTTGGATCAGACACTGTGGTCCCTTCAAACTTCACCCACTCTGTGAAGATCACAGGTCTATGAAAATCACCACCTGTAGATCAGAGAAGCAAAGTTTGTTATAAGGCAGCAGATTTCTCCAAAAACAAAGGACCTAAAACTAGTGTGAGAAGAAATGAGAGTGCAAATAAAGCTCTGGGATGTATCTCTAACTGGGATTATGAGCAGAAGTGTCCAAGTCTTGCTGAGGAAAGAGGAAAATAAAAGCAGTTCCTTTGAAGTATTCCTGAATTTTCTAATCTAGGGAAAGTTCATTGCAGGCATTTCCACCGGTTTTAGCAATATTGGAAACCTTAATGAAGACAAGATTGTTACAGGGGCAGCTGGTTTTAGTACTGTGTCAATTACATTTGCTCAGGCCAGTGGTGTTAAACACTGGCAGCCACACAAGAGCTGGCAATGACAGACAGCAGCTGGGATGGTGCAAACTTAGGAAGCCTCTGAAAGCAGCAGAGACCAAATGTCTCCTGTTGCACCCATAAGTTAAGTCTTTTACAGTAGTAGTTACTGTTTTTAGGCATGCATGGGAAACTGCTGTATTATTTTCTGGACAAACTGGCACATATTCTACTATCACTCTTCATGCTTAGTGATATTAGAGCATCTGAGGAATGAACCAGGAGAGATCAGACACAGAGTTTTCGAGTCTGTTCTGCATATAGAAAGCATCTAGAGGTAAAACCCTAACCCAGTAGTGCTATAATAGTGGGGTAATTGTAGCATTTGCTGTATCAAACTAAAAAATGCAGTGACTGGTTGTCCTGAAAAAGAAAAATGATACTTCATCTCCTCTTTGAAAGAATCAAAAGGCTTTTTTAATGCTGTTTTTGAATGTGGAGCAAGAGATACTAAAAATAATTCATCAGCTTTATTTAAATTATGCAGTGTAATACATAAAACATGAAGATTACAACATCAAGCAATATAGCTGGAACAAATTAAAACTACTTGTGCATATGCATTATAATTCCTTCCTTAATTACTGGTCCCTAACCTCTTTCAGTGGATGCAGAATGAACCTGTGGAATTAAGCACAGATATCTAATAGTGCCTTCTCTCTATTCATTGCCAGCTCATTGCTTCTCTCTGCTTACATTAATTTCCTTTAAGAGCACTCCTATGAGCTGCATGGTTGTTTTTACTTTGAAAGCACTAAGATTAAAGAAAAAATATTATTTGGTGTCAAATAGGACTTGATTTCTTGACATTGCACATTATGAAATATGTAGAACATATGGTGCATTGCCTGTTGACTTAATTTTCACTAGTAGGCTACCCTAAATGAAATCCCAGCATCTTAAGATTGGCACTGTGAAAACACATTCCTCAACCTCTTCATAAAAAAATATGACTAATCTGCATGTGGTACATGGCATCACATAGAGCTTTTTGAGACAGAAAACTTGATATCTTACAATTTCTTAAGAATTCTGTAAAGAACAGTCAGCAACCTCAGTCATGATCCTATTCCCTGCCTTCTAATTTTCCTAAAAATTACACAGGGATTACATATAAAATGCCTCATTTTACTACACAACTTTGCTCCAAAGCAGAAAAATCTATTCTGTGCACTACAAAAAAAGGCACAGCCTGGTATGCAGGAGGTTAGGCAAGAAATTTGTAGTTAACTTTAGGGTATAATGCACGAAAGGGATGAACTTGTACAGGCAACATACATTATGTGCTGGATTTTGCAAAATCAGTATGACTGCACACAATGTAAATAATTTTCTGTTTCCATAGCACTCCCAGGGCCTGCAGCCTGTGCAGCACAGCAGCTGCCATGAGTTTTTCATATCCAGGCCTTTTAGCAGTCAGCATCCATGCACACATCCAAACACCTTAGGCAAGTGAAAAGTCAACCCACATTAGAAAATTCAGGTTGTAAGGAGGCCTCTCACTTAACCTCCTGCTCAACAGCAAGGCCAGCTGCGTGGTCAGTCCAGGTTGCTCGGGACTGCGTCTGCTTGGGAGTGGAAATCCCTGAGGAACCCACTCCCACGGCCCAGCTGTCCACAGCATGAGTAACTTTTCCCTTACACCCAGCCTGATGCTCTCGTTTCACCCCACTCCCCTTGTCCCTCAGCAGGACACTGAAGCCCCTGGCTGCCTCTTCTCGACCAGGTCCCCACGAGTGCTGATCCCATCCACAGGCCGCGGCAGTCCCGACCCTCCACTTCCCCGCACGGGAGGGTGGCTCCGGCCCCGCCACCTCGGGGATCCCGCCGGGCTCCCTTGGCGTGTCCGCTCCAACCGGGCGCGGGGGCCCGGCTGGAGGCGGCACCTGCCGAGGGCTGCGGAGAGCCAGGAGGGCTCACCGCACCCCTCCGCGCCCGCGCAGCCCGCGGTGCCGCAGGAGCTCATTCCGCCTGGAGACACCGCGGGACGGCGGCACCCCACCGCGCGCACGGCCGGCGCCCTGCCGGGACACGCCCGGGGCCATGGCTCGCCGGCGGCGCTGCCGGACAGCGTCTCTCCGGTACGATGCCCACACGGCGACGAAGCTCCCGAAGCCCGTCCCGGCCCCAGGCTAGAACCGCACCCCGACGGGCAGCGGCCGCTGGAAATGGCCCAGGAAGAGCGGGCGGGGGGGAAGCGCTGTCCACGGAGATTGACGGCTGCGCTAGCCAATGGCGACGCGGCGAGTGGGGGGACGGGGCCAGGATGGCCCGACCGGGGCGGGGCGAGGGCGGGGCGCGGGGGCGGGCGGGGCGCGGATTGGTCGGAGGGCGGGGCCGGCGGGGTTTTCTCCCGGGCTGGGCTGACGGCCGCGGCCGGGAACTTCGGGAGCGTGCGGGCGCCAGCGGCCGTTCGGTACGTACCGGCGGGAGCGGTCCCGAGGGAGCGCGATTTACGCGGGCGGTGGGGGATGGCGGCGAGGAGAGGGTCGGGCAACCGTAGCGCTGCAGGGGACTGGCGGTGTGCTGGGGGCCGCTTTGCCGCGTGTCCGTCACGGTTTTCCGTGGTCTGCTCCCCTTTCCGCGGGATGCGGAGGCTGCGGGCGGAGCCGGCCCGGCTGAGCAGGCAGGGCTGCCCCCTCCCTTCTTCCTTCCCTCCTTCTATGCCGGCCCCGAGTAGCGGGGCGGGTGGACAAGGCTGTCAGCACCGCGACCAGCAGGGGGCGGCAGCGGTCCCGAGGACGCGCGTCCGCAGCGGCGTCCGGGGGTGGCGGGGGCGAGCGGCTCCGAGCCGCAGCCCCTCCGCCCCGGGCGGGCAGTGGAGCGCCTGGGGGGTGGCTCCTCCCTCCCTCCCATCTTTTCCCGCAGCTTTGGGCACTGTTCCCGGCGCGGTGAGCCGTGCGGACCACTCCTCGCCGTTCGGTTTCAAGCCTCCCTGGCGGGGCTGCTGGCGTGGGCAGTGCCGCGCCCGCCGCCTCCGGCCGCAGCTCGGGGCATCCCGGCCGGCGCTGCGCGGGCTCCCGCGATCGCTGCCCTGCCCGCATCTACCGCGCTCTTGAATCGTCCGCCTCTGGCCTGGGGCTAGAAGGAGAGCGGTGTTTTTCCCCGAAAACCTGTCCCGATGGCTGCTGGTGCCTTTCCCGCACCCGTCGCGTGAATGCTGCGTGAAGAGAGGCGGTTGGCTTCCTAATTTCCTTCCTCCCGGAGCACCACTCCTCTCCTCCTGATAACTTCATCTGTTTGCATCTTGGGCTGTTCCTTTCTTTCATCTGTAAGTTAGCAACTGCAGAAAAATGCTAAATAGGCCCCCGCACTGAGGCTATTTATCAAGAACCAGGTAGGGGATGAAATCGAGGGAGACTGCATCCCTAATTTCCCTTTAGGATTAGGGTAAAAATAAGTGTAGAATCTTCTTGTATGGTTTGTGTCTACTGTTTCAAAGTAAGTCGTCAGTTCAAGATGTGACGCCCCTGCCTCTGAGCATTATGTACTGAGATACTAAAAAAAAAAAATTATTATAAATTTAGGTCCAAAGTTCTTTTCCCATTATTGTTCTTTTGTAAGGCTTTGATTACAGTACTCTGAAGTCTGAATACACTCAAAAGAGCTATAAACACTGTGGTAACATTTTTTAGTGTGGCGTTCTTCCACAGGTAAAGATCCCACTGAGTTGCACTTAATCCTTTTTGATGTTAATAGTATTGTGCACGCATATGTATGGCTAGAAGGATCTCTGGTTGACATAAAGGGAGTTCTTTTGAGGATTTGTCAGCTTAATGATTATGATTTCCACCTTCTGAAAAAAGTCATTGGCGGAGAACAAGTAATAGCCAGCTATAGTGAACTTAGGTTAAGGTGCCTTGATAACAGTAATAACTAGCAAGCAGTTGATTTGGTGTGTTTTTTACTTCTTATAAAGCTCTCCAAGACCAGTTTTTAGTGAAAATGCTATATTCTATATTTGTTTTAGAAGATATGTATTGATTTTCTTAGCTTTATGGCCTCCTTTTCTGTCATGGGTGCTTCCAGAGTGTTAGTGAAATGCAACAAGCACGGTTCTACAGAACTTAGCCTTCAGCAAATTCTCATAAATTTGTATATATCCAGTCCTACAGAGGTTGAAATGAGAAAACGCTTCTTTGAGAGACTACCTAAAAGAAAAGCTGTGTCCCTTAGCATCATGTTTTGAACAGCAGAAAAACTGAGTCCCTAAGCTACAGAGCCAACCAGTTACAGAACAGAAGCAGATTCGTGGCACCCAGGGTTACACAGCAGTGACCCTGGAAGGGTATTCAGCAGCAGCACTCTGCCTCAGCTGCTGCTCTCCTCCCTTACAACAAGTTTCCATTTCTGCTGGCCATGCTGCTTTCTGACTGCTGTTGACCTCTCGGTGGGAAGTTGAGCTGCTTTCTCTTGCCTAAATTGCAACATTCTGCTGTTTCATTACCTTTGAGCTTAGAAAATGACCTTCCCTTCACTGTTCTCCGAGGTTATGGATCTAAAAAATTTCTATCAACAGTTTGTACCTGTGGCAGATGAGCTTACATTGTAAAAATGTAGTTTAAATGGCCTAGACAAGATTTTCAAAAATATGCATGTTCTCTCTGCACACTTGTTGATAGTGGAGAAGAGGGGGAGTTCAAACTTCTTAACATCCAAGACTGTGTGGAATAAACTTCCAGGCTTCATTCATCTGGAAATAGACCTTTTGTTCCACTTCTCTGTGGATAATTTTCCAGTAACTGCAGTCAATTCATAATTTTTTTTAGATTCAAGGAGCAACAAAGGTAACATTCTGTAGCTGATTTGGCTTCCTGATGTGATAATGGAGATTTAGTGACAACACTGAACAGCTCTTATTTAGAGAAGATAACCTGAAGAATAATTGTATTACTTCTAGTAGCCAATATGATCTGAATCAGTTTGTGAGTGTGGATATTGGCAGAATATTCATTTTTCATGGGACCACCTCCCAAGTCATGCCTTTAAAGATTAAGAATGTGGGTCATAGGTGGAGAATGGAGAAGTGTTCTGGGAAGTACAGACAAATAAAGATGGTATTGTGGGTTGTCATAAATAATTTGGACATACGTTTTCTTTAAGTTGGTGTTCAAGAAATCAAACTAGGTTTATAAAGGAACATTTAAAATATATGACAAGGTAAATTTTTTCTGTAATTGGTGGCTATGGGGTTCCTTTTTGAACTGGCATTTCCTTTTGGCATAAATCTGGGAAGCATATTTTAGTACAAAAATTGATCTATTTTAGGATTAGAAAGGGAGGGAACAAAATAAAATGTTGGTAGGTGTACCTGTTATATGGATGAGAGCCATGAAAGTATTTGCTGGCAGAAAAAGGATCTAAATGGTTTACATTTTTAATAGTTGTCTGTAACGTGTAGCTCTACTCTGATTTTTGAAAGAGGAAGTGTTCTATGTTTTAGTTTACTGTGTGTAAATTTCAGTAGGTTAAAAGTGATTTTACTAAAGACTGTAGTGTATAACATTTTCCACTGGATATTTCTAAAGCATGGTTGAATGCTTTCCTGAGGAAAATGAACTAAGTCAAACTGGTTTCATTCTGGAACTGGTTTTAAGTAGCGGGGAGTGAGAAGAGGAAAGGACGGGGAGTGAGAAGAGGAAAGGACGGCTGTCTTCCTCATTGCCAACAAAAGTGACCCAAGAAAAGCAGTGTTGGAAAACTGTTCATTGTGTATTCACACAATGGGTGGACACAAGAAAGAGGATGGGAGCAAGAAAAGGGGATGTGGAAGCATCTGATTGTTGTAGTCTGGGCTATACAAGAAGTCAAACTGCATTGTAAGGGGTTATTTCTGGCCTTCTATTATGAAAGCAAAGGCTACTTCAAACTTTAAGGGTGCTAGACTTTAAAAGAAACTGCCACACTCGTATTTAAGAGTCAAAAATCCAAGTGCAAGTTAAATTACTGGGTGTGGGGTTTCTTTCTTTTCCTATTTGTCAGGGTGTTCACATTTTTAAAACGTTTATCATTTTAGCACTGTTCGATTTCACTTACCTGATTTTTCTGATATATTTGGTGGATTAATTTTTGGTGTAATGTGATTCTGAATTATTCCCTTACAGGTGAGAAAGAGATTGTGCTGTTATCCAGTTGTCATAGTTGATTTCACTCTACAAATCTTCAGGATTTCTACGGGAGTGAAAGGTAATTCGTGGCTTATTTTTTTAGATCAGAAGATTCATTGTATGAATTTACTAAATAGGCAAAATTTTGTGCTCTGTTTCAACTTCTCATTTACTTTGGCTGTTGATGTGATAAATTTACGTGTTGTGAGTTGTCAGTTTTGTAATATTATGTGGAAAAGAACATCCTGATGGTACAGTAAATATTTTGACTTCTACTTAACAAGTTTGTGGTTATGCTCTTCTGTGAAGGTAATTTTACTGGTAACTTGTTTCCTCCACAGACTTCACCTTGTCTTTGAGCACTTTGTAAAGATTTACAGACTAAGTGAAGGCCATATCAACAGAATATTGATTAATTACTCTTGTGTAATCCAAAAATAGCTGTTCTGTTTGGTTAGTGAAATGAGGAAAGTATGTTCCATGTATAGTATGAGATTATAGACTTGCGTGTACTGCAGGTGGGACACTCAGCAAGAATGCAGGTTTATTTATTTTAACACTGAGGGGGGAGGAAAAAAGGTCTTTTGCACTTGCTGTAGTGTCTGATGCCTTAGAGGCACTACACAAACACTGCATTACAACTGAGTTGATGTTGTAGAGGAGAATGTCAGATGCCAACCCTTTGCTGTGCACATCACAGCTGCCTTTGATGGCACAATGTTTCATGATTGTACTAAAGTATGGGATGCTTTCGAGGCCTGACTTCAGTGAAGTTGGCCTGTTGTGTAAAACTGATTGTCTGCAGAGTCTTAGGAGCAGTAGTATTTTGCTTATTTGTTTCTTTGATTGGATTTTTTTTTTTCTAAAGGAGAATAAGATACTACTACTGTTCATCTCTGTAGTGCTTTTATTAATAGTAGCATGGCTCTTTAGAGAGCTTTTGTGAAGGAGAGTTGCTAGAAGATCCTTTTTAAAGCTGGTGACTTTTGTCAGTGCCTAGGGGCTTAACTGGGTGTTTTACTTGATATTGTATCCACCCTGGGGCTCGTACTTGTCTATATCTTGGTTTCTCCTCCCTGTATTCTTTCTGAAGGGTGTGATAAAGCCTGTCTTTTAGCTTACCTTGCTGTTACTAAGTCACGCAGCCTGTGTGCTCTGTAAGGTCATTGTTATAAGATCTTGCCATTGAGTAGTAGAATAGGGTTAGCTAAGGACAGTTTAAAGAGAACTGTGAATTGCCGTGGTCCTCTAGGCTTGAATCTTCCCTTTTACTTCTAACATTGTCTATGTGGTTTTCTGTTTGCAAAGCAGTAGTTCTGGAAAACTGTGTTGTAGGAAAAAACGTTCAGTAACCAGAAAATAAAAATAGACTAAAAAAAAAAGGCAGGGACTCACTGGAAGATCAGTTTCTTAAATTGCTTGCACTGATGACAAAGCAGAGTTTAACCAAATATTTATTGTTAAAATTACTCTCTAATTAGTAGTGTTGTACAGCTAAATGTAACACCAGGTTTTACTGTAATTTGGTGCTATCCCATTACTGTGGGTAGAGAAGTATAGACTATAACTGTGGTATTCTTTATAGTGGCTTGGATAAGAATTTGACTACAACGTTTTAAGAACATAGAATGTTAAGAGTATGGAAAGCTTCAGTATGTATTTAACATGCATGATGTGCCCTCTTACCACAATAGAAAATTAGAACAGCTTTTTCTCATTAGAAATAGTCAGTAATCCTGTATATGGGATTTAAAACATATATTCTGAATTCATACTAGGCAGACTTTTGAATTCTGGCTGATTCAGCATGTATCCTCCTACTTCTGAAAATCAAACCAGAATTAAAATCTGGTGATAAAAATATACTTGGTTTCATATTTGTTGAAACACTTTTATTGCTTCCAGTTACTCACAAAAGCAGGGATTCATCAATTAAAATATGTCAGAATATATGAAGTATGTCCTGCAAACTCCTTTGAACATTTCAGAGTTGGATCTGAAAGTTTCAATTTACAAATAGTGTTTTTTACTTTGTAGACATTATTTGTAAACAATCTATTTGCTGTTTCCTCAGCTGAAAGAAGCTGTTTTATCCCATTTGGCTTCTCCTTTTGAAGTGGTACTTAAAAGCTGTGTTTAAATAATATTGTAACTGCTGCTGTTTCATCATCCAGCAATTAAAGAAATATACCCTGTATAGCATTGATCTTCTCTTTGAGGACTGAATCCTTTTCCTTGTGTGGCTCTTTTGGTAGTTTTCTTGGTAGGGTGTTTCATTATTTGACCATGAGTCTGAAATAACTCAGGCAGAGTGGGCAACCCACAACCAGAACCAAAGAATGCTGTAGCATTCAATTAATTCTCTATTCCATGTTTTGTCTTATGGCTGCCTTGTCTCTGTAGACAACGTTTGTCAAAGATCATCATGTATTATGGCTAGAGGCAGCTGCTTGGATCAAGGCTGGGATTGTTAGGTGTCAGTGTTACTGCTTCTTCTTTACAAACCTCAGTTGTAAGTGATTTTAGTATTAAATCTGTTTTGGACCTCTATCTCATTAGTTAACTTAAGCTGTTGGGTATTTGGCCTCACTTTCCCAATGTGCTTTCTTGACTCTGTGTGCTTGAGGATATATTACAGAGCAATTAATGCTTAGTGAAATTCATGCACATAGAGATTTTTTTTTGTTCCCCACTCCTCCCTGCCACCTTTGTATTTGCTTCTACTGAGACCACTGTATTTCCAAGCATGTTGAAATTTTTTTGTTCTGAAGGCTGAAATTTCATAATCTCCAGATTTTCTACTTTGTTGAATTAAAAGGTAAGGTGAAATATGTAGCATATTAAAACATTATAGGCTTTTGTCACGTCTGGATTTAGCCCCAGTGACATTTCAGAAAGTAAGGATGCTATTTGTCATGGATAAGTGCAGAATGACTTAGTGTTTCAGCTGAATAGTTGAGGGGGTTTTGGGGGAAAGCTTACACTATTACCAGCATATTGTTGTATTGTAGAAGAAATTAAATATGTAAGAGTGAAGTTAGGAATACTGCAGCCCTGTGTTGTAGGTGAGAAAATTCTTGGAGGAAAGGTGCCTTTTCCATAGAAATGCTTTGTAAAATGAGCTCCATTGCAAGAGAGTTCTATGTTTAAAATCTCAATCCAAAACAAAAATGAAATTGTGCTACAGAACACAGTAATAAATGTGTTCTGACTTGGGGAGAGGGGCAGGGTTATGTGGTCAATATAGCTTTAAGAAACTACATATGTAGCATTGCTGTGCCCTTCGTATTCCCTCATATGCCCACTGGTTTTAGCAAGTTTATAAAAGGTACACGACCCTACATTCTGCTGTCATCCTTAGAGCATTACAAGATCAGGAATCCAAACAGTACTTGCAGTCTTAACTAGAGACCAGGTACTAAATGTGAGAGTTTCCTTCAGTGGTAAAGTTTGTACAGTTTTAGCCCTAATACGTAAGGAGGACTCTAGAAGCTGCTGTAGTTCTTGTCTCTTGTACATTCTGGACTTCTGTTTCAAAAAGCATAATGGAGCTCTATAAAAACACCCACATATCAGCTGAAGTATATTTTGCCTGAGCTGATTTGTTGGAATATCTAAGAAATCCAACTCTGTATCTTAAGGAATCATGATACATGGGATAAGAATTAAGAGTTTTATTTACTGCTTGCAACTGGATTTTTGAAGGCTAGTGTGAGAAAGGCAAAATATACCTCCAATATATTGGGAGCAAGTTTGCTTCAACCATTTTTTTTTCTCCTTGACAGATATGCAGCTTCTTTGCACTTTTCAGACCACCTGCTCAGTTTACCTGATTTGTAATTTTTTTTTTTTTTTAATTCTTAAGTTGTATTCCAAGGCTACACTTAGTATGAAACTGGTTAGTTTACAATAAAATTGCCCACTGGTGCTACATCATGTCTTGGATAAAGGACAAGATGTGGTGTATGTAGCATGTTAACACTTTGGAGTGGGACCAGATGAAAATAGTTTTTATTGGGTGAGTTATTTAGTCACTGTGATGCACCCTAATTTTCTGTCTTGAAAAGTCTTGTCCCGTTGTTGAATGATGTGGGAAGATTAATTTGCCTGGTGCAGTTACTTGCAAAATAAGAGAGACAAGATGGCTAGTATGTTGTGGTTGATGTGTTAATCCCATTGAAGTCAAAAATCATCTGCTTCATTATTTTACTGCTGTATGATCTTTGCTTGCTCATAAAGGATACTCATTTAAAAAAAAATGTGGATCCTTCCTGTTCAAAAGCTCACAAGGGTGTTCTTGTTTTACTTGTACTTAAAACAAGTCAGTTTTTCCTTAATGGTTTTGGTTAAATGTTTTAAGACTTGAAGTAGTTATGCTACAGAGATTTTTCTGCAAGTGTTATTTTTAAAATTCTGAGTGGGTTATCATGTTGTATTATTCCCAAGGTTAACAACAGTACATGACTCTTGCTAGAAGGCTCAGTATGTGAGGAGTTAAATTAACAGCTCAAAGCACAACAAGTGATTTTATATTCTGTGACTAGTTTTAGATCCTTGGTTATATCAAGAAGGTAAAAGCATACACACTTAATTTGGGAAAAATGTGTTTTTTCTCTGCCGGTTCATTTTGGGTGTTTGGTGAGGGGTTTTGTTTTTTTTTTTTTTACCTGCCTGTTTAATGCTTTGTTTCAGGTAACTCAGGCAGTATGTTTGCATGTGTGCCCTGATCTAATTGGAGGAAAATAAAGTTAATATTATCAGAGATCCTATTTAATGTAACTTTATTAATTGCTTAAAAGTGGTTTCTGTAGCTTGTCAAATTTTGCTTGTTCTCTAATCATGCTCCTGTTACTCAGTATAAAATGCAATAGAGATGATCCCTCTGTTTTTGAAAAACAAAGTTGGTTTGTGTGTTTTGTTTTTTTTTTAAAACGGGTATGGAACTTGATTTCTTTTAGAGAAGAGCAGCTTCTCTGACTGGTTTCAGGTTATGCCTCCCACCAGTTTGTTGTAACCAGTCACTTACCTCCTGTTATCTCTGTTGGCACTCTACGTGTTTGTGGGCAGACTGTGGGACAG